CACCCCTCCCACAAGAAGGGGCTAAACATCTGAAAGTGCCTCTGACTGTTGGTACCTGATTGGTATGTTGTTGTTTTAGTTCACTGCAATTTTCTCAGCTAATTAGAGGGAAGCCACTATATTCAACTACCCTTCACAAGTAGTCCTTGACATACGGCCACAATTGAGCCCGACGTTTCCATTGCTAAGCAGGATGGTTGTTAAGTGGAATTTTGACCCCTTATGTGACACTTTCTTGCACAGTTGTTTAAGTGAATCTGCCTCCCCCATTGACTTTGCTTGTCACAAAAAGTGGTCACGTGACCTTGGGACACAGAAATGGTCATACATATGAACCAGTTGTCAAGCACCCAAATTTCGATCATGTGGCCATGGGGATGCTGCAGTGGTTGTAGATGTGAAAATGGTCATAAGTCACTTTTTTCAGTTCCATTGTACCTTTGAACAGTCATTAAATAAATGGTTATAAGTCAAAGACTATCTGTATTGTATTTTTTTGGGCTTTGTTTTTGCCTTCAGGTCAGATTTTTCTCCTGGTGGAATACAATGCACTCCTGGTGGAATGCAATTTTCAAGGCAGCATTTGCTATTGAGTTCTTCCCAAAGCTAAGGTGGAGCAACTGGCCAAGGCTACCCCACTGGTTTCTCTGTTGAAAATAAAAATTAGAACTCAGGTTTCTGTGCTCCTAATCTGGTGCCATAACCATTAGACAAAATTATCTCTCATCTTCAACATTAGCAGTGTCCAATACTAGTGGCATTGTTTACTGAAAATGACCATGGAATTGTGTCAAATGTTTTTTTTTTAAAGACACAATTATGGAGCCATTTAGCCACTGCTAATGTTCATGACTTGAGCTTTCTGACCTGTTTGCAGAGACATTTGAAGGGACCCAAACTGAGTAAATTTGAACCTATTCATCTTTTGGGATAGGCACTTGAGAGCTTTTCTATCTGGAGGCTCTATTATCTGATTTGTGGGTTTATTCAATGCAATGTTAGCTACCTGAGACATAATTGTAGATATTTCACATTTACTTATCTGTGTGAAGCTGCAGGGTAAATTTATGAACGTGTCTTTCAAATATTGCAAGACATATTGCTGGGGGGGGTGGGGGGGGGAAGCATCTTGCTGATATTTACTGAAAAGATGAGCTGAGCTTGCTTTTCAAAGCTCCCTGGATTAATTAAAGCTAAAATGTCATTCATGTATATATCATATGCATTTTTCCAGGCACAGATGTCTGTCTGGTGCCAATATGCTGTTTATGTACTTGTCTGTCTCAAGCACATGGCCATGGACATATGCCCTTCTGGCATGGGCACATCATGTAGCCAGAGACGCCTATTAGGCTGCTAATGAATCATCGGCATTAAAAAGGGTGGGTTGACAGAGAAAACAGAATGTGGAACTTTTTAGGAACCTTATTTTTCCAGCCATCTTTGAATTGCAAAATGGGAGACAGATGATTTGTGGGTACGCTAACATCTGCAGGGCCTGAGTAGACTCCTGAAACACAACTGGACTTTTCACATGTTTCAGAAGGGGTGTTTTTGGCACAGCAATGATTCTAAATCCTAATGTTGGTGATGAACAGGAGTGCGATGGCTGCTGAGGAATTCTGAACAGCCAGAGCAGATGTTTGGCTTATATCAACAGCAGGAGTTCTACATATTTGAAATGGGGAGGAGAATACGCCATTTCTTGTAATATAAGTAATATAAGTTCCCTCTGCTCTGTTTCTTCCCTGACCAGGGTCTGCAGCAGGTTTTGATCCAAAGTCTGAGAGGACGTTTCAAGAGCTAAATTATTTTAGCCATCTTGTACACTAGACATGGACACCTTAATATATTTGATAGACGTATACCCCATCTTTTCTCCAACAGCTTGAGCCAGGATCAATTTACCTGAAAATCTCCATTTTATCTGTACCACATGGATTGAGCTGGGAAAGAATGAATGATGATGTCCTTCAGTGAGCTTCTGTGGCTGAGGTTGGCCTTCTAATTTCTAGGATAGCACCTTAACCACTGCACCAAACCAAACTTTAAAGTGACTTTATTGGTAGCAATGCTCCTAGGAGCTATATTTTAGGACCTCAGGGAATAAAACAGTGAATATTATAAGCCCTAAATTCTTCTCAAACTTGGATATTAATAAGAGTGGCATAAATCAAGTAGTAGTATGACCAATTGCTGTTGATTGAAGTAGCAGCATGACCAATTACTGTTCAGGCATGATCTGAACATGTGCCATAGCAAGACACCCATATCCCTGCCCCAGTGTTTTCTTACTTGTCCAAAAGGTGGCTGGTAGAATAGACTAGCTCAGTGATGGCTAACCTTTTCAGCTTGGTGTATCGAAAATCGGGAAAGTGTAGCCTTCCGCGGGTCGTGTGTCACTTCAAGAAATATCAATAATTTGGTTTATGACGGACTGGGCTGGGGTGATCACACAGGGCTGTGAAACTCGTCTCCCTGGTCTCAGGGCTGCAGGTGAAGGATGTGGGGATCGGAAGGCCACCTTACAGGGCTGTGAACCTCATGGATCTCCTTTCCTCCTGTAGCATTCCTGAGGTAATGAAACTGACAAACCTCAGTTTATGGCGGTTAAAACTGGTTCTCTGCTGCAAAGATCTTGCGGCAGCGGTGACACCACACCTCCACGCAACAAGCAGGGAGCAGGGATTGGAGCAGAGCACAGGCAGCCTCTAAATGTGCAGGTTTTCCCCACACCAACAGGCGTGTCAGTCAAAGTGCCTCGGCGTGTCACGAGTGACACGCGTGTCATAGGTTAGCCATCACTGGACTAGCTTGTTACACATGTTTTAATTTGAAAAAAAACCTCTATATTAGTCTTCCTGAAACTTTGGGGAGTCAGCATCAACTCAAAATTGTCCCTGACCACACCTAAACCAGAGGATTTATAGGACTGACTTAAGTTATTTTAATTGAATTATTTTATTGATTATTATTTATTTTAATTTGATTAAAAACAATCAAATTATTTTTAATTTGATTGTTTTAGTCTTGAATTTAAATATATCTGTAAATTTATAGTAAGGTGTCACTCTCTCATACTCTGTGCCTAACCTATCCCTCAGTTTGGGAACATTCCTCATGAGGAACCAACTTCTTTCCTCTATTTTAGAAAGCAAATAATTTCACTATTGGAATTCCTTTTTAAAATTGCTATTTGTAAACATATTGAACACAAGTGTCAGACTTCAAGAACAGATGGGAAAGCAGGATACACAGATGGAAAAATCGTCACTTCCTTAGAGGAGCGATATAAAATCTAAACTACGGGGAAATAATAGTTCACTCTTGAAAGTTATAATACAACTATATCAGGCATTTAACTCATGGTTTAAAAAACAACGTATTAAGACATGTATGTGGTACATAAACATTTGTTTCTCAGGGCATCAAGCATTAACACATTTCCTAGTCCAGTACCATATTACTACTTCATTGCTGTCACACAGTAGCAAAGCTTTCCAAATTTCTCACAGTTCTATGAATTCTGGAAAATGGCCCCACTCTTTTCCAGGCTTTCAGAACTTCCTCAAAAGTATTCATATTAAAAAATCAAATTTGACCTTCATGATAGACCCCATTTTGTTGCGGTCCATTTTAAAGTCAAAGTTGTGGTAATCATCCTCGTGCTTGCATTTAGAAACCTCGAGAAAGGGCTCAGAACACGAGTAATGTTCTCGTGCTATTGTAAGTGAAACAATAGGATGTTCTGGCAAGTGCTGCTGTGGCTCATCTAGGTGCCAAACTCCAGAGCCTTGTAGGCAAAGGTCTCCAACCTTGGCAACTTTAAGACTTATGGACTTCAACTCCCAGAATTCCTCAGCCAGCTTTGCTTTGCTGGCTGAGGAATTCTCGGAGCTAAAGTCCACAAGTCTTAAAGTTGCCAAGGTTGGAGACCCCTGAGCTAGAGAATGCCAAAATGACAATCTGGAGAGCAGCAATTGAGGAGAAGCTATCCGACTTTACAACGACCAATCCTCATTTTATTATGTCTACTTTTTAAAAATAACCTATTTCTACAATAAACATTTTTTATTCCAAAATATTCCTGCATAAGTAGTCCTCAACATATGACCACAATTGAACCCAAAATTTATGTAGCTAAATGAGAAATTTGTTAAGTGAGTTTTGACCCATGTTACAACTTTGCCTGTCACGTTTGTTAAGTGAATCACTGCAGTTGTTAAATTAGTAACACAGTTGTTAAGTGAATTGGGCTTCCACATTGACTTTGTTTGTCAGAAGTTTGCAAAAAATGATCACTTGATCCCAGGACACTGCAACTGTCATAAATATGAACAACTTGTCAAGGATCTGAGTGTAAATACGATCTGTATTTTGGAGCTAAGTTACAAAAACTCCATTTTATTCCTAAATCAAGGGGGCCACATTGTGCTTTGAACTCTCCCTGTTGTTTATGTGTATCCCATGTCCAACACATGTAAAAAAACCAAAAAACTATCCAGAGCTTTGAATTCTCACCATTGGAGCCACCATCTTGAATTCCTTACTATGTATTGCAGACATATTTGAATCTTCATGTAGAAAATACCATTTGGAAAATGAATTTTCAAAACAAATTCCTACAACCATTTTGCTACTTTTTTTGAGTTTGAATTGAGTTCTATCATTACAAATAACAAAGCAAGCAGAGGACACGAACAATAATACTTTGCTGTGGAGATGTGTTTTCCAAACCAAATTTTGAAAATTAGTCAAATTTGGTGATACATAAAACCCAGACTTTGTGGCAAATATATTTCATGCAGAAAGCTTTATTTAAAAGTATTACTCAGAAAAGAATTTTGTTTTCATAGTATGTATATAAATACATACACACACACATGTACGCACATAATTTTATGTCATTGAAAATTAAAAGTAAGAATGTTTATGTATTGAATTAACAAGAACACCATTAGATAGACATCCATGAGAAAAATTCTTTCTCTCAGTAGAGATTACAGCTCCTTTAAGTATTGTAGTAAGGGTTCCAGTGGCATGTCTTGGTGATAATGAAAAGGCCGAAATGCTTTATCAATTTTTAGAGGACTGAGGCACAGGTCATAAATTTGATTGTAGTTATGAATCAAACGCTTGGCTTTTTCTTTTTCCAGCTTGCCTGTAGTTCATTAAAAAAAAAAACAGTTTTTCTATTTGGACAAATCAGATGTAATAGCATATAATGTATATCCTTGAAGAGGTTCAGTGTAATGTCATGGGATAGTTTAATGTTATCAGAATTACTGTGACTGCTGTGCTCAATTCTTATTCATTTTTTAGTGAGGGGGAGATGTGAAAAATGTCCCCATCTGGAATGATTGGGCCTCAGTGGGGATAGAGAGGTAGAAGCAACAATAAAAGGTCCTTCCAACTCTGATTATCTGTTATCTGTTAAAATTAAAAGATAAAGGAGTCCCTGGGGAATTTACTCTGCCAGTTGTTGCCAATTATAGGGGGCGGTACTCATCTCTGTTTCCAGGCTGCTGAGCCAGCAATGTCTGAAGACATTTCTACGGTTATGTGGCCAGCATAATGTCATGGAGTGCTGTTACATTCTGACTGAAGTGATACCTGTTTATCTATTTGCTTTTACATGCTTTTGAACTGCTAGCTTGGCAGAAGCTGGGATGAGGATGGGAATTTAATCCTTTGTGTGGCGCTCGGGTCTCGAACCTGGGCTGCCAGCTTTCCAGCTGACAAGCCCAGCACCTTAACCTTTGAGCCACCACATATAAGAAGCAATTCTAATTGTTTGTCTATACACCACCATGTACAGATAGTCCTTGACTTACGACCATAATTGAGCCCAAATGATCTAAGCAAGGCAGTTAAGTGAGTTTTGCTCCATTTTATGACCCTTCCTGCCACATTGCTTAAGTGAATCAGTGCAGTTGTTTAAGTTAGTAATACGGTTGTTAAGTGAATCTGGCTTCCCCATTGACTTTTTACTTGAAAGGCCAGAAGGTCAGTTGCCAAGCGCACATAATTTGATAATATGACCATCGGGATGATGGAGTAGTCATTATCACCTTGCATTGTTGTGAAAAATGGTCATAAGCCATTTTTTTCAGTGCTGTTTAACTTCGAATGGTCACTAAATGAACGGTTGTAAGTCAAGGACTACCTGTACAGTATACCTCTATTACACCATTGCTAAATGACTTCTTAGGTGGCTGCAGTCATATATGTCTTTATATATGACACCTAATACTATTAGTTGTCATCTAATAGTATTATGACATCTAATACAATGAAATTCTGTGTCATGGCATCTAAAATCAAGAAGACAACAGTTCTTTAAAAACATGCTTACTTTACTTTTCCCCCTCATGCTGTTTTTTAAAATATATGCCATGCCCCTGTCAGAATCTGAATCTGAGGAGGAAGCTGGACAGCTGACAGGGAATGGGAATGTGGCTCCCTTGGCTGTGGAGGAGGCTGGGGAATGGCAAAGTCCGGCTGGGCAGAGCAGAAAAGAGACAGAACAAGGGAGAACGAGTTCAGAGGAAGAACTAGGCCCACTCCCTCTTCATCCTAGGGCACGCAAGGAGGAACAGAGAATAGAGCAATGTGGGTTGTGTGACTTACGGGGGAGGAAAGGGCCCTGATTCCCTTCATTAGCCACAGCTGGGAAGACAGTTGATAAGAAAGGCTGCGTGCGGCAGGCTGTTGGGAGCAAACATGACTTTATCCTGTGTTGTCATGGCTTATCTGTGTTCCTGGCATCTTCCCAACCATGTGAGCCTTCAAGTCTGAAATTCTTGCTCCTCCCTGCCAAACTAATTACTTCAGTTTGGCTAGTTTGGACTTTAAGTTATAGTTTGTGTTGACCATGTTTTGGACTTAATTTTCTGTTGTCAAAGGCTGTTCCTGTGAGAGCTTTTCTCCAGCTAGAAGGTAATCTGGATATTGGGGGTAAAGTTGGAGATAATAAAGGGACTCTTATTGATTATCTGACTGTGTTGCCTTTGTGCCATGCCCTGAGTCATCACAATATATATTTTAGTGTATTTTATATAGAATAAATTTTATACTGGTGTTAGATTTCTCTGTACATTATTTATTAATTTATACTTAGGTTTGATTTATGGAAACAAGCAGGATTTTAGACACAGTTCAAATTAAACTTTATTACTACCAAAGACCATAATAGAATAATACATATTATAAACAGGAAGGAAATAATATGATGAGCAAAGGCAAGCATACAAAGTCCATTGGCATTTACTGTGTATTTGATTATACGACATTGGACTTTGTATGCTTGCTTTTCCCCATCATATTATTTCCTTCCTATTTATAATGTATTATTATAAGATAGTCTTTGGTGGTATTAAAGTTCAATTTGAACTGTATCTAAAATCCTGCTTGTTTCCATACAATGCAGATTGCAGAGATGCTTTCCCTTCCTAGCAATCTCTTCCATAGGTTCTCTCTACCCCCTGGATAAGATCAACCTCCATGCATTAACTATGTTTCCCAAGTAAGGTCTTTGTCAGTACATATACAGCATGGAAACGTAGTGCTGGAACTGGCGGCACGTATGATCACATGAGCAAGGCCAATATGTACAACCCAGTTGCGTTTCTGTACATTCTCAGTATTATAGAAATTAATGCTTGGAAAGGCTTACAATTTGCTTGAATCACCCAGCTGTGCTTATGCAGATAGAAAGTAAAATATGCCGTTTTATCTTCAGTAATGTTAGTTAAGCACAACCTTGTTTGGGTGGGATCAGCCTTACCTGTGTTTTTGACATCAGATAAATAAAGGGCTTTCTCCATTTTTCTGAACCGGTCTATCCAGGCCTCTTGGGCTTCAGAGTCACTGACATCATATGAATTCCATGGATTAGCAGTTTGAAGTTTATATGGTTCTTTAATCTTCAAAGGAACATGTTATATTATCAGAAGTTTAGCACTTGTCAGCTCTCATAATAAAATTGTGGTGAAGAACTGTACTTAGTTCACTGTTAAGAGTTCCTACAAACATTTAGTAATTATTATATACAATTTATTCACTGAAATCAACATATCAAATTTGTAGCTTTCTGTGACAAGATCACTTGTATGATGCAAGCATTTTGGGTTCTATGTTCAACTTTCTTCATCTCGCAACTTCAACTCTTAACAAATGGGCCAAAACTGAAATATTTCCTGAGGGCACCAGGCTGAGGGGAAGCTATCCTAGATAATGCAGAGTTTTTAATCTCATTTTTTTACAATGGAAATTGGTATTCTAACAGGTTGTAGTAGACAGAAAGAAGATTATTCATAGATTCATAGAGGATATTCATAGATTTTTAAACAATTTGTGTTAATCAAACTATAAACAGTATTACTGTTTTATGAACAAGAAGTCTTAGCATAGGAAGTGGTGTCAAAATTAATTGAATCAATTAAATAACGAGTAATGTATAATTTTCCATTAAGAGTTTGTTGCATTTATCAATAGGAATTTTAAAGTACCTGAGAATTATCTTCAGTTTTCTCCTCATTTCTTCCTAAGATGGAAACAATTACGAGGTTTTTGTTTATTCAGTTGAAAGATTAGTTTAATGAGTCAATTTATGAAGCATCGGCTTCTCTCAAAGGTGATAGGAAGACATTTCTGGAGCCATAAATGCTAGTAATTTGAACATTAATACCTGATATGATCAAACTAGTACAATATTAAAAAATAGAGCTGTACTGAACTTGTAGAAATGTTGATGAACTTCATATCTCAACATCATGAGCTGTTTAAATGCTGGATTTATAGTTCAGCAATATCTGGACATCTACAAATTCCCGAATTCTGCTTTTGAAAATGTAAATATATCTTACTGTGATGCAATACAATAGAAAACCCTGAACAGGAGCTCTTCAATGACAAACTAACCCGAACTAATAAAAAGGGAGAACAGTGATCGTTTTTCAAAAGAGAAATTACAAGATAATGATAGGAGGGAAGACAGGGCAAATGTATAGTTACAGAGACAATGATGGTTCTTCAATTATTGCTGTAATTACTTATGGAGACTTGTTCATGTTTTTCTCCCTTAAACTGACAACCTTGTGAGAGATGTCCTTTTTCATCATAACATAATCTAATTCCCACATTTCTCTCGATTTCAGTTTTCATATCCTTCAGTTAAATCCTGTAGTTTGTCATTCGTATTGATTGGATATTATGGATAGAAGACCAGATTGTACAGCATAAAATTAAATGATGGAAAAGCATGAATCAAGTCCCAGAAATGAAAAGCAGTCCTCATTGGAAATGCAGCTGGTTTGCTTATAGCCAGATGGTTAAAGTTCAAGGCCAACTGTTGCATCCTGATCGGTTTCTGTAGCAATGATTGCAATTGGCTCACCTTTGCATTTAGTCATCCCCTGAATATTAAATATGCCAGAGTGCTTTCTCAAACATAATTAGATTAATGCACCATCTAACTCAATGTTTCACATCCATCTCTCTACCAGCAGTCTGTAAATCACATGCCCAACTGTTCTAATTGTTCCTAACAGATGTATTGCAATAGTCTGAGAAGCCAACAAAGATGAGAGTAATATTAGATTGGTTGTTTTGTGGATGTTGTTTAACAGTTTAACAACAGTAGATATAGGAGGTATTATAAGACTGCAGCATCATTGGGAATAATAGCAATAGCACTTATACCTAAGAGCTGCACCACTTCACAGTGCTTTACAGCCCTCTCTAATCAGAATCAGAGTCAGCATATTGCCCCCAACAATCTGGGTCTTCATTTTACTGACCTTGGAAGGATGGAAAGCTGAGTCAATCTTGAGCTGTTCAGGATCAAACTCCTGGCAGTGGGCAGAGTTTGCCTGCAATTCTGCATTTTAACTACTGCACCACCCACAGCTCTTGGGAATAAACTCCCAGTGCCCTTCCTCAACCTATGACCTACAGATATGTTGCAACTACAATTTCCAGAATTCTTAGAGCAAATGGGATTGCAATCCTAAAATATATTTAGGCATTGGGTTGGAAGAAACGACATTAGAAGTATTATTCTTTTGTTTTCTACATGAGGGAGTATGAGAAAGTTAAAGGCAAACATCACGGAGCATGGGGAAAGCTTGCTACATGAGATACATTATCTCCATCATGACTTATAAAATAGTGAAAACAAATTGGAGAAAATGCAGTTCTCATGTTTACAGAATGACCTCAATTCTCATGTTTCAGATTTTTAAAAAATATTCATTGTAACCCAGAGTATTATCATATATGAAACATGCTCTTAACATGAGTGGTGATATTATTAACCATATTTGCTAGCTTGCAGTTTATCCAGACAAACTTTTTAACCTTTCTTTGGGTGAAGTTGTATTATTAATTCAGGCTACGTGTCGGATTGACTGTACCAGCTGAGACAATATTTACGTATTGCAAAGAGAACTGCCATAGGAATATACTTGTAGAAGAAAGCCATCAAACATCTATTCTTGCATGAAGTTGTTGTATTGGATGCATGCCCAAAAAATCTAACTTGTTGAAACTTGTTCTAGACTGTGAGGTCAAACTGTAAAGTGACTCTTTATAATCCTAAGATTAAACAAAACTGTCCAAGTTCTATCTTGCCAGATACTCCATTTAGAAGAAAATTGTGTGGCAGAATTATTACTAATTTCTGTTTATATGTCAACTTTGAATCCATGCCAAGACAAATGATAGGAAAAGAGGGAACATATTTAACTATTTTGTCAAAGCACTCAAATTAGCTGACAACAGGATAGCAGGACGGAAGTGAAATGAGAGAGTAAATATATTGAGACCATCGAATGGCCAAAATAGGAGTTATGACTGAATATTAGAGGTTTTGGAGTTCTGCCATTTAGAGCTGGCATCACAAACTGTGAACTTGTATGACAGCCATAGTTAAGTAACACCGATGATCTTAGCCTTACAAAACTTTTCAAAATTCTAGTGATGTGAATTGTATGCTCTTTAGAAGACATTGCAAAAATGGCTACTTAACAAAGAAGACCCAGAGGGACGTAATATTAATGAATTACAGGCATTGGAAAGTAAATTTTCTATTAACTTGTGAGAAAAATAAATGATTCAGACTTGTTTATATGCAAACATTTTATAGCCATTCTTAAGCATTAATAGAAAGTTTTTATTAAAGAACATCATGATGACCTTTCTTCCTAAAATAAATATCACTTCCTAGTTTGGAGAAAATATCATGCCCATTCTAATGGAAGTTTATATGAATTTAGGTTTACATGAAACGAGGTTTAAGGTTTACATGAAACCAGGATCATCATTACTTTTCTGTTCTGAAAATGCCACATGATCTGCAGGGAACTAGTAAATAGAACAAACATACCATGAACAAATGTGTGGTATATTGCAAAATTCTACAGGAATGTAAAATGTATCATCATATTAATTTGATTAATGTGCTGAAAAATAGAAGTTAATTCCTTACTTTTACAAACTAGCAAAGCAGGGTTCATTCCAGTTTGGACTTTCTTCAGCAACTCTACAAATGGTTTCCATCTACACATGGAAATACATTAAAATTAAACATAATTAATGCAGGCAGATTTGTTTGACAGCAAAAAGAGCCAGTGTGTTGAATGAAGTCATCTCTTCTGTCCCAGGTGTTTTGTGTTATTCTGTATGCCACTCATGGCTTTTTCATCTACCCAACTGTGCTTAACATGGATGGCCCCATTCACACCAGTGTCTAATCAGTCACCTGACAGCCACTTAAATTCTAAAATCTAAAGTTTAAAATTCTAAAATTTCTAATTTAGCGTTTCTAACATTTTTAAATTCCAAAATTGCACTCAGTACAATTGAGCTGGAGAAATCTCAGAGTTCCTTGTAAGAACAGGGAACTGGAGAACTTTCCATGAAAACTTTTAAAATTTTACAGGTATGCCATTTACAGCCCCTTGTTATCACGAAACCACAACACAACAATCAAAGGCACGGACTTCTGTTTCAGTCTATCTTTCTATACCATATTTTATTTCTTTAGCAAGACTTTGTTTTGGGCTACTGGGACATCTTAAAGACCTGAGAATAACCTGAGATAATTTATCAAACTTAAATACATTTAATTAGGAAATGGCTCAGAGCTAGATTATTAGCTAATTACAGCAGAATTTTATTCCCAATGGAAATTGAGATTAAATTAGATGATGCACAGGTAAATTAATGCAGATGACACATTCACACAATTTATGTTATTTATAATAGAACACAAAAACATTTGGAGGTCTTAATTCTCAGTTTGCCTAAGAGTTTGCACAAACACCAAATATTAAGGAAGAGATCCAATTTTTTCTCTCCTCTTCCTAGCATTGTACATTATTATCTTAGAAGAAAGATATTGCCAATGGCTCCTTTAATATCAGCATGAACTAGTTAATGGAAGTTGGAGTTTGCTGAACAAATCTAGTCACTTCCATCAACATGGTAAGTGCTTCATTGCTATCATCACATCATTTCAATCCTGCCATCATGTTCAGAACCAATCTATAGATTGTATTTATTTTTATATTTTTACCCCACCTTTTTTTCATTTGCAGCTCAATCCTCCTCCTGTTTTCCTTCTCCCAACAACAACAACCCTGTGAGTTGGGCTGGGAGAGTGTACCGACCCAAAGTCACCCAGCCAGTTTTTCATGCTTAAAGCAAGACTAGAATTCAGCCTCCTGGTTTCTAGACTAGGCCAGCATCTTAACCAGCACACCAAACTGTCTTTCTAGGGATTGTGGTTTCTAGGATCATAGTGTCAAATTATTGTGGACAAAAAAGAAGTAAGCATTCCATTAAAACTTACTGCATTCTGCCTCTTCTACCAAAGTCACATAAATTGGCCAAAGTTTCCATCATCCCAGGATGTAGAATTAGTCCGTGTTTTTGGCAAATATTCTCTACCTGAAAATTACATGTTTTCATGAAATTTTATTGGCAAGCTATAAACAAAAAAAGAGCTACATATAGAAAAATAACAACCGCATGATTGAGAAAACAAAATTTCTTATGTCTTTTTAGAGTAAAGGGTGTTCAAAACTCACTCGCCTAGGACCTTGCACACAAAGCATTTGAAAGAGCTGGAATTCGCTCAATGTAGCAGGCTTCATGCCTGCTTCGTATTTCACCTTCTCATAGTCGTCATGTAACAGTTAAATATTACCTGCCACAAAACCTTCCCAGAGAACTGAATTCTGAAACATGTAAGTCAACAATGATATTTTGGATAGAGCTGGAATTAAAGAACAGTGAAAAGCAAAAATAAGGAACCCGACTGTAGATTGGGGTCCCCAAACTTGGCAACTTTAAGGCTTGTGGACTTCAACTCCCAGAATTCTATTTCTGATATTATTTTATCAGTGCAACATAGGTCAAAAACTAATATAAAATTATATAAAGATTTATGTATTGACATCCAAATGGATCTGCGTTCAAAAGACAAAAGCAAAGGCATTCTAAACAGTACTTTAAAAATACTATAATATCTAATAAAAGTGATTAAACAAGCAAGTGGCAGAGTTTCCCAACTTAAATTTATGCTAGTAGTGACTATATAAATAGATTAGTAAATTTAATTAATCATTTATTTATTTATTTATTTATTTATCATATCTATATAGCCACCCATCTTGCAAATATGACTCTGGGCAGCATACAATTAAAAAATAAGCCAAAAAATGAACAATATTCAAAACATTCTACAATGGAAAAAAAACACCATAAAGACAAAGGGAAAGCACCTTCAATGATACAGGCAATGTAGCTATCTCACAATTCACTATTTCCTTGAGGTCTTCAAGCTTGTTGACACAACCAATGTTTTAAGGCAGGGGTCTCCAACCTTGGCAACTTTAAGACTTGTGGACTTCAATTCTGGGAGTTGAAGTCCATGGGTCTCAAAGTTGCCAAGGTTGGAGACTCCTGTTTTAAGGGACTTCCTGAAGGATGGGCTCAATCTCACCATGGCTTGAGGGTTCCACAGGATGGATGATGTGACAGAAAAGGCCAATCTCTGGGGTCCCACGAGATGTAACTCCTTAACAGATGGGACCACAACATACTTTTTTCTGCTGGGCATGGTGGAATAGGCCAATGAGGTTGGGAAAAGGTTGTCTCTCAATTGGTCCCTTACCTCAGAAAATGAAAAAAGGCCTGAGCAAATCTGGTCTTCTTGCAGAAAACTCTGTGTTAATTTTTCAAAATCCAGCTGTCCATCGTGTTCTTTTAGTATCTGCTTCAGTGCCAGAAATGTATTTTCTGATGTCCAAGAGCTAAAGAGCGATAATATGAAGAGACAATTTATCTTGCATTCTTGAAAAAAGAAGCTACATATTAAAAATTTAACATTTACATATTAAAATTGTTGTTTTAGTCTTAGGCTATTGCTAATCAAATGGAAGCTGAAAGCAGAAGATTCCTCTCCCATGCTTTTTTATTGATATTTATAATATAATATGCAAAATTAAAAGAGAACCTTGGATTCTTTTTATTTTGATTCTTCTCAGGAAGTATATGTTGCATTTGGCTCGATGCCTGGAGTGTTAATAACTGGATCAATTTTTCATAATCTATCTAGAAGAAACATAAAGAAATGTAATTTCAAAGACTAATTTTAAAACAGGGATTCAAAATTCCAGAAGGAAAAAAAATATGGTGTAGAAAACATTACTGCTATTGGTTGAACTGTGTATAATATCTGTTAATAAACTATAAACTTAATCTAGCTGAAGAGGCTCAATCTTCTGAAATCCATGGGATCAGAACAGAAGAAAACCCTCTTAGGCCAGACCAATGGCCAACACTGGAAGCAGTCTATTCTTCATTGACTTTCCATAATTATCAGCCAGGTAGAATAGAATAAAAGAGTTGGAAGGGACCTTGGAGGTCTTCTAGTCCAATCCCCTGCTTAGGTAGGAATCAGATCGCCATTGTTAAGCCAAAGGCAAGTGGGGGGAACATTATAACTGTTTATGCTTTTGTCTCTTTGCAACTGGTATTCGAGGACACATGCTGCCTCTAATCCTGAATATCCACCCACCTATCCATCCTCTCTCTCTCTCTCTCTCTCTCTCTCTCTCTCTCTGTGTGTGTGTGTGTGTGTGTGTGTGCGTGCCTGCCTGCCTGCCTCTGTCTGTCTGTCTGTCTGTCTGTCAGCTTTGGAATCCTTATTCATCACTGAGAAAGTGGGAGGGCGGTGATTTTTATTGAGTAGCTCTAAGTAGACAAAATAGAATTCTTTTGTTAGCTCAAGGTCATGGAGGAACAAAAAGGAACTTTCTTTGGGATTGGTTCATGTGATGTGATGATGAGAGAAAAGGGGATGGATTGTAGTTTGGGACATTGTGGGAAGTCCGGGGAACTTTTAGTTTCAAAATTCCACCGATGTGCCAGGTGCTATTCTAATAAAGGTACTTTTGAGATTATGCTTGTCTCGGAGTTACTGATTGGAATGGAGGTTCCCTGGAACGCTGACACTATCCACCCATCCATCCATCCATATCTATCTCTCATCTATCTATATCTATCTATCTACCTACCTATCTATCTACCTACCTACCTACCTACCATCTATCTATTCATCCATCCATATCTATCTCTATCTCTCATCTATCTATCTATCTATCTATCTATCTATCTATCTATCTATCTACCTACCTATCATCTATCTATCTATCTATCTATCTATCATCTATTTATCTGTCTATCTATCTGTCTGTCTGTCTGTCTGTCTGTCTGTGTCTATCTATTTACTTATCTATCTATCATCTATCTATCTATATCTATCTATCTATCTGTCTGTCTATCTATCTATCTATCTATCTATCTATCTATCTATCTATCTATCTATCTATCTATCTATCATCTATTTATCTATCATCTATCTATCTATCTATCATCTATCTACCTATCTATCTACCTATCTATCTACCTACCTACCTACCTACCTA